CATCTTGTAATAACCTAGATGTCTTTCCTGAAAACATGTTGTTTTTACCATTCCTCTGATAGATATTTTGAGATTATGTTAATTTGATCATTGACTCATTTGTCAACACTGGCAACAGAGAGGGGTCCAAATAATGACATCACTACTCATAGGTCAAGAGGATCCTCATAAATTTGGAAATTTTTGTTGTTGTTGAAGGATGTTTTTTCATGGCAAGAAGTGCCAACAAATCTCAAGCATGATAAGAAAAAAAAAAAAAAAAGAACATGTTGATTTTTGGAGAAAAACCAGGTCCATACTATGAGTAAAGTTGATCCTTCCAGCTTTGTTCTTCCATTGCTCCCTGACAACTCCCCAGCTTCTCATCATGACACACAGATTATTAGAATGATAGAAACATAAAAAATAAAGATGAGAATGAATTACAGAAGGAGGGGATAATGAGGCTTATGTGATATTATTTTGTTATATTACTTAATACCATCCTACCCGATCTGCCATGGAATTCTTATCATTTCCTACTATTGGAACAACAAGTTTAAGAAAACTCTCCTAAGTTTCTAACAGTTCTATACTTTGAAAGCATTCTAATGGGCAGGGGCCATCCGGGTAGCAATGACAGTGTACGGGTAGCTGGAACAAAGCTGAGGGAGACCAACAGAACCCATGTTGCCACAAGAGGATTACTTTAGAGGGAGTTTTGCTATGTAAGAATTATTTTTAAAGAACAAAATCAACAAAGAGAAAACACTGTTGACAGGATGGTATACATCTGAAAACACTTTTTGATTCTAAGAATGAGAGTGAAGAGCTATGGACTAGATGTTGAATATTTTCATATGCATTATACAAAAGGTGGCCATAATGGTCTCAGTCCTGATACAATGAATTAACCCCACAAATTACAACATTCTATCAATCATAATAAGACTCTCTTGAATGACTCTGCAAGCATGTCAAAAGTTTCCTTCTCTTCACTGGCTAATCTCTTTCACGTATAAGGTACGTCTTCTTATCTAACTGTACAATTATGACCAGAGAATACTTCAATTCTCTAAAGCTTTTCTATGAACCCACTGGGTATTTTATTACCTTTTTTATACTTTATGAGATTAAAAAACCTGCCCTTTTTCTCCATGGTATTAATGCAGGAATCTGATATGCCTCAGGGCAAACCAGAATATACAGCACTGGTCTCTGTGAGGGCTTCCAGTGCAGATAAGGAACCTGTTGCACTATTTTTCAGCTTTGTCCAGAATAAAATGTCTGTCTCCCTTTTAATCGTTACAACATGAGCTTCTTTTCTTGAAATAGTCCAAGTGAGGTCTCATTAAACCTTTAGACACAGCTATATTCACCTTGATTCTGAAAGCATGTTATACCATTTGTTTCATGAACAAAGGCTATGGTTTGGTTACTACAAAAGTAATTACATCAGACTGCATAACCTATGACTTAAAGATTTTAGGTTGTGCTGTGTGCAAAGGTTTTCTGAAGCGATATCTTTAATAAAAATATCTGACACGCTCTTCTATTAGAATAACTGTTCATGTATCCATGACTAATGTAAGCATACACCTGAGAACATTAGACTATCCTTCATCAGTTTTAAAGTGATGTGCTCCAAGACAAGACAGCTTAATTCAAATTCCCATAATTAAAAAAGCCTCTCTCTTTTAAAAAAATAAATTTTAGAAACTCTAAAAAAAGCCAAGATATATGTAAATTTAAATTTATTCATAATTAATAGTTTTTAACCACACAATACCATATTTACAAAAGGATGTATAATTTTAAAAATAAACATATTTTTTATACTAGAGCCTCAAATTTCTAAATATCTTTATATCAGTTACATATGTAAACTTAGGTTATTAATATATTTTGTGATATTTGAATACACTAATCTTTTCCTTCATATATGATAATGTTTTTATGGAAAAGAAATTCACTTTAGTACATGAATGTTATCCCAATATTCTAAAATACCAGCATAGTAACAAGTGTTCAAATTTGATTTCTTTTTATGACTATGTAATCATAACATCAATAACAACTGATGAGGAATACCTGGTTTAGTCATAGAGTCTTGCATGGCTCATTTTCTTTTTTAATTGTCACCTGCAAAGAGATAGGTGGCTTGAAGATTAGCAACCTGTGACAACAGGTCTTGCCACCTGCATTCATTCCTCCCCTCCAGTACTTGAGGTCCTTGCACCCTACAAACAGTGACTGTGGCCTTGCTGGTGGTGACCACTGCCCCAACTACCCCCCTCAGGCTTGTACTTCATGAGGGTTTCTGAAGCTTAAGTGAAGAAAACTGGAAGAATCAGTTATTTAGCATTATGTTAAAGATGCAATTTGTATGGATAGATAAAAAGTGGAAAGTCTGGGGAGTTTCCTTTTGTACCCTTTCTAAAATGACCATGATACTTACTTGTACTAATGTATTCCTTTTTAATTTGCAGGTGAATACTTTGTTCCCTGATGAATCACAATATATGAACACCTGGTTATAAAATAAGGCTGCCTAGAAAAGGTTGGAAATAAATAGCCACTTTTTTTTAATAATTGGCAATAATTCATTCCTGCCAATAATTCATGCCTCTTCTAATCCACAATCAAGTGATACTGATTTTTTTCCTATACATCAGGGAATTGGTAAAGATGATAATAAAAGCAATAAAGGTGGAGCATCTAATGTACATTATTACTGCTAACCTCCAGGAGATACAAACTGAATCCATGGTGCCATCGTACTGAAATCTGAATGCATTTCACTTCACACATAGAAAAATGGCATGACAACTGTGTGAAGTAGGTCCACTCTGTCATGGGAAAGCAATGTCTTAGTTGGGAACATGCTGGAGGACTCATCTACAATCCTGAGAACATGTAAGGGAAAAAGAGATTTGATTCTAAAAACAAACATCAATGTGGTCGAAGGACAAGTTTAGCTAATGACAAATCATTTTGTCTCAATTCAGAATACTGATAATTTTCTCATAAATATAGCACAGAGATGGTAAAGCAGTAGGACATTTGGTCAAACCACACAGTGTCATTTCTTTGTTAACTGCTGCTTTTAGACACTGTCATCCTTTGATACTCTGCTTCACCACTACAAAACTATCTGTTAAATATTTTGAATATAATAAACAAAAACAACTTTTCTCCCCCCAAATTATTCTTACATAAAGAGGGTTTTGACTTATCTTCTAGTATTTACATACATTACGTTGTTTTCTTTCCTATTTACCTTAAATATTCAAAATACTCTTAGGAGATGACATATTGGCCTGAAATAACTCTCATCAATACTAGTTTGGGGGCTTGAAGGACACCTGATAATATAGAAAAAAATAAAATAGGTTGTAAAAATGTTTTTCCCACAGATGGATGTTATTGTAAAACAGCCTTTAAAATAAGGGGAAAAAAAACTTTGGATGCATTACAATTAGTTTTTGCAGATTAAAAAACTACAACTACAAAAGGAATCTTTAAAAAATACTGCTTGAAGGCATAAATAATTTCTTGGGGCTTAAGACATTTCTTGAGATAGTAACAAATGTGGATTCAAAGAGGGCTGCTCTAAACACTTAGAAATAATAACAATTTGCTCTAGGAAACTAGTGAATAACTCTAGACATGTTCTAGTAATGACAAACTGCTAACGTCAAAGACACATGTTAAACAGTCAAGTTAACTGTCAAAGGCTCACTTGAAATATTAAACATTTTCATAAAACATAAGTACAAAGAAAGGAGCATTTCAAATTAACATGAAACTATAAACATTTGCAACTGTATTAATGACTATCAGAAGTAACCATTTTAGTATTTCATCTACAATCCTTACAATTTATATCATCCATTTGGCCAAATAAATTCATTATATGCAATTGCTCACTGGGCACTTCTTTCAGGTGGGAAGCAGTTTATATAAAGAGACTACGGAGTATTCATTTCTACTGAATTGATTCACTGAAGTGGGTGGAAAGAACTCCTGTCTTAAGTTTATATATTCCATAATTTTGTAATAATATGTGCTTAAAATTAAAATTCACTTCCCCAATGTTTGAGTTTCCTTAAACACAGTCTCAGAAGTTTAGAAGTTATTCAGGTATAGTATAATTGTTTCTGTATGGAGGAACAAAAAGAGTAGACCACATTCTAAAAATACAAATGGAGGGGGGGAGGGCGGGAACTACCCAATACAGTGTCAATAGATGAGAACTATGGATGTTGAACACTTTCTGTGTTCATCAATTTGCTTGGTAAATAGCATCTGTCATGTAGGCATTTAAATTGTTAGCACACAGAGGTAATTTGGCAATGAGCTTCGCTGATTAGATGCTGTTGAATCTGGATGACTCTACATGCCATAGAGCACAATTCAGCACTAGGCATACCTGCTCTAAACTTCACCTGAACCACCAAGAGAAACTTCTGAAAAGACGATGTCCATGGCAAGGTGGTCCTAGGGTCTGAAATCTGCTCACTGTCACAGTGAGATTCCAAACAGACATGCTAGCACACGCAGGTCAATAAACCACATTCTGTCTGCTGTGAAGGGTGCAGCACATTCAGAACTGGAAGGGAAGAGGGGAAGGGCTCCAGGGCAAATAGCATGATTTGAGGTACTGCAGCAAAGTTCAACCCCCACATTAATTTAAGAAAGAAAGAAAGAAACCATGACATGAATAATCCACAAATATCTCTGAATCCAAATTAATCTAATGCAATACTGAATCAGAGTATAAGTATTTGAATTTTTTTTTTTTTTTTTTTTTTTTTGCAAAAAAACAAAAATGGGTACCATGAGAACACAGTTGTTCAAGTCCGCATTGTTTTTCTCTGGTTGTTCTTTCTAAAACTGCACAGTGGGTGTACACTTACTTATATTGATTCCACATTTTGCTTTGCCATAATATCATTTCAAAGCATGAAATAAATGACAATAACAATGTAAAGCAATTAAAAAATGAAAGTGTTCCATACCTGAGAAATCTGCAGCTAGGAGATCTACTGCCTTCAAAACCTTCACTTGTAAAATGCCAACATCCTTTATATCTTTCAGAGAGTTCTGTAAGGACTGAGGGGAGAAAAGGAGATCACAAATGAAAATAGTTTTTCAGTATACTATTAATGCTCTGAAGGCCTATGGGGCATCCGTACATTCTATTATCTTCTCGTCTCATGAAATATTAGAAGAGTTTCAAACATACACTATGCCAGTCCACAGTTCAGTTAGGCATTTACAGCAGCCATATTTAAAAAAAAAAGTGACTGAGAATTAATTAACTACAACTCCAAAATTAACAAATTAAAAGCACATACAATCTACTTTTAACATCGCCCCCTGGTGTTAGCAAAGATACCCCACTGTGAAAATGTGTGGGTAGAATGACATTCATTCTTTCTTCTCTTTTTTTTTCTCTTTAATGCAAATTTTAAATCACACTAAATGCAACATTATTCTGACCTATTTAGTATAAACTTACGGATGCAAGAGTACTAAATTTGGACCAATGTAAAAATTTATTACCACTGGAAAGAGTGGGGATGAAAACAGAGTGAATTTTCTGATCCATGCCATAGCCAAGTTCTTTAGAGATTTAGTATCTAATATCAACCTATATTCACATTTTCTGTAATTTTTAGTTTGCATTATACAAAGTTTGAATATTTGGTCTGGTCATTCTTAAGCATATAAAGCAATATTGAGATGTCTAAATATATGATAGCCTGAAGAAATCATGCATGAAAATGATGATTATATAAACCCTCTTCTTAAGCATACAGAATGCATCCAGTGAAAAAGATCCTGTTTCAAAACCTTCAGATACACATTGTTATTACCTAGCCAAAAACCTGTCATAAGCAGATCCCCAGGGATTGATATTGAGACAGTAAATTCCATTTTATTTAGGCATCGCAGGGTTGAATAGGAAAAGTTTAGTAAGAATAACAATAGGCAGACCTAATACACATAATTCTTAAGAACTTTTAAAAGTTGTTTATCTTTGAATTTTCAACCTAAACCAAACAAAGTTAACTAGTTCTTAAGCTAAGAGGAAAACATGAAACAATACACTTTTATAGTGCAGAGAGAGAAATACCTTAAAGGAATATCTACTTTTACAACCTAAAAAAAAAAAAAAAAATCCCGCCTCTTTAACAGTACATTATTGCCTTCAAATGCTCTGGCCAGCTTGTAAGTTGAAGAAACACCTGGAATTTCTATTTTCATTATAGCTTCTTTAAACCTCAATTATTATCCCTGAAATTCTAAGGCATTATTCAAATACATCATTACTATGCTATATAATGTTACTTTTCAAATATACAGCATACGCCATAAATTTTGTAAATTGTGCAATTTATTCATTGGAAAGCTTGGGGATACTTTTAGTTTTTACCATCAAATTTTCATTTGCTTATGTAAAGTCATCAGAGAGACTACCAATAGGGTATTCTGTCCAAACTTCTTCAGAGTACATCAAGCTGGCATGCAGAATCCGTGACACTGAAATATATGTGGTTAGGCTTTGTACTCTCCAAGATAAAGATCTATTCAATTAATCAATACATACATACAGTGAAGGATTCTGGAGGCAACAAAGTTTATGCTGAGGATGATATTGCCATTGAATAAGGATTCATCTTTGCTTTATTTTCATGCCACTTTCTTAAAAAACGTGCCTTCCATGTATGGAAATCAAGTGGATGTATTGATTTACAAAGAAGATGGCATAAAAACAGAATACAAAGGAAAAAAGTGCTTTTAGAAAGTCAGCATAAAATAAATAAATAAATAAATAAAGATAAGACAAAACAGGTATTTGATTTTAAAAACGTGGACTGGACTGTTAAGTACAGGGCAACTACTTAGGGAAGAATCACATTGATGTCATCATCGAGGTTTCAGGATTCGATGGTCCTCTGCTGCCTGTTTTAGGCTTTGTGAGACAGGAACATACCCCCTCTTGATTCTAAAATAACTTAGGAGTCCATAACCTTGCAACCAAAGCCATTAAAATCCATGACATTACAAACATTAATGGTTGGTTAAAAAACAAAAGCCACTTTTGTTGAACTTCCATTAAATTTTCTATGCACATATCCAAACATGCTGAATTAAAGCCACTTCCTTGAAGAGACTTGCAAAAGGCTAAAAATTTAAAATATCATTTTGGGATTTAAAAATACAAGGCAAACTCCCAAGTCTTCTTTCACTTTCCGATAAGTATATTAATCCGTAGGTCCAGTGCCTTCTTTTAGGAGACACACAATGAAACTTGGGACCAAGATCTCTTTTGATGTAGTTTTTGATTCATAGACTTTGTTTTAATTTAAAACTGGGAGGAAGTAGGAGTGGTGTAACAAGGCAGCACAACTCACATATCGTTGGGAAATCTGCTTTCTTTCGCTGGGGTCCTCAAAGGGGCAGACACACAGATCTGAGATGGAAACTCCCGCACAGGGTGTAAGTGTGATCAACATAAGGAGAGCCCCCAGGCAGCTCTCCAGCGGCAGCTCCAAGCAGTTGGCTTGCTTCAGCGGGAGTGCTGCGATATCCACTTTACACCTAGAAATTTTCAGAAGTCAGAGAAAGAAAAGTGATTAACTCAAGGCCATTGTAGAACCTCCAAAGCACCTGTCTTGCATTCCATCATCCCCAAACCTTACTTTGTCTGAGCTCAGGTTTATTGAGCAGTGAAGGTTCTAAGTGCTCCCCTGGCTTGGAACACTCACTCCAAACCACCCCACTCTAAAAGTAAGGAGAGGAAGAGATAAAGCAAAATCCAAGAGCAGGCAGCATGGGGGGCAGGGGTGGCAAATGCAAAGAGATAAGTCAGGTCTGTGTCAAATAAGGCCTGCAGAAAGACAATAAGATCAAGAATTAAGTAGAAAAAAGTTTCCAAGTTTAATGATCATAAATATAGATATGGCTTCCCTTTGTTGTGGCTTTTAGGAGTAAGGAGAATAAAAGAACATGGTTCAAATAAAAGAAGGAATAAAGAGAAATCCAAGTGGGAGAGGGTTAACAGAGAAAGCATTTTCTTCCCGATTGATGCCAACTGGCAAATTTTTATTTAAAGAAACGTGTTAAGGTGTTTTCCTAATAGGCACAGTTCCACAGGGTTTCCCCAGGTGGGTTTCTTTTGGACAAATGGAGCATGAAGTGTTGTTGATTGATCCCATCTCCCAGCACTGCCAGGAAGGGCTGTACCCATCTGCTATAAATTGCATGTTTTCCGCCTCTTAACAGCCAATGTTCTGGAGTTGTTGAAAACCTCAAACACATTTAAATACAGAAGCAAACACCAAAAGGGTTGGGGAGGGGGGTGCTGAGGTGCTAAGTAATTTATTTGCTTTAACATTGAAAGCTCTGGGTTTGCCTAGACCACACCTACTATGTTTATGTATGCAGGTGGGTGAGGAAGCCCTGATTGGGGCAGGAACACACAATAGTTCTTAGATTAATTTTTAACATTATTCGTATTTGTGCTTCACAATTATAGAATATCATGAATATTCCAGACTTTAGGAAAGAAGTATTGCCTCTCACAACAAACAATAATGATGCATGCTTGCCCTGTCAGCAGATAACCAGAAAGAGGTAACCAAGATATATATTATATAAAACAATGATGACTTTGAGGTACCTAGATATAATAGACAGAACCTTGCAGTTTACTGTGAAAAACTGCAATCCTTTTCCCAATTAAATGGAAAGAATCAATTACATTAAAAGTCCATACCAATTATTATTATAGGATGAAAATACTTATTGATAATTGTCTATAAAATTAAATAAACATGGATAATTGTTTCCTATTTACCTAAAGTGATCCCACTTAAGAGAAGTGATTTTCCTTTGCATAGAGTAAATTTGTCAAGTATGTCTATTGAAGGAAGATTACATATAGATCTACATATATTATTTTCTATGGTTTGTATCAAAACAATATTTTCTATAGCAAAAGGGAATCTTTAAAAAAAAAAACTAAAACTAGGTCCTGGAGTTGTAGCTCAGTGTTGTTGATTGATCCCATCTCCCAGCATTTGCCTTGCATGCTTGAGGCCCTGGGTTCAATGCTTAGCATCACATAAATAAACAAACAAACAAACAAATAAAGAAATTGTGTCCATTTACAACTAAAAAAAATTAAAAAATTAAAATTACTCCCATGAAGAGTTAATATTTCTATATCAAATGCATTTATGTAAGTAGGTAATTAAACATGTTTGGAAATAAATATTAAGTGCTTTATATCATTTTAAGACAACTATGAACACACACATTAACAAATTTTTCCATATATATGCACAGGAACACATTATTATTTTACACTGTTATATACTTTCATTTATTAATAATACCCTTTCTTATGGAATGATAAAAGATCCAAATTTGTAAGAATTTTAATGGTCACTTTAATTAGTCCAAATTCTCACTAACTCATTGATGGTACATGCTTTTTAATGCCAATAGTAATGGCAATGTTTGCTCTTTAAATGTTTACTGTGTGGAACTAGTTTGTTCATTTGAACAGTCAGAAGTTATTTAGAGGCAAGCACTCTGAAGGTTTGTAGTATTTGGAGGTCAAAAGTAATGCATAAATAGGCAACAGTAAATATTTTACTGGATAATTCAAAATGGTTCTGACATGTTTCTAGAGTAAACTAATAATGTTGTGACCAATGTTAGCATATTTAGAGTAACTTTACAAACTCAACTAGTGTCTGCTAAAATGCACAACTTATTAGAGGAGAGAAGTTGATTTTAAGCAAAAGCTGACCACCCACCAGACAAAATGCAAAGTAAATTTTGAATTTCTTCTCAGAAATTATACCTTTGCACAGCCTCTTTAGTCATCTCTGTCCACTGTGAAAGCTTGGATTTATCTCTTTAAACATTATGTAATTAACTAGGAAATAACCGTTTTATGCAAAACAACCGTATCTACATTAAATACCAGAGCTCCATAAGCAACAGGTTAATGATACTGGTACCAGTTTAATGTGTTCTACATTCTCCACTAACTACTGAGTATATACTCCAGTTTTCTTTTTGCAGTGACTTGAAAGAGCAAGTTAAATTGGTATATAGGTATCACATCAGTCAAAAGGTTTAAAAGTTTTGCACATGGATTTTGATCTGTTTGGGTTCCTGCACCAACTATGTGTATTGATTCCTTAAGTCTTAAGAATTAAAGTTCCTTTTTCCTGATTTTAACAACAGGTTCCTCTATAAGGATGACTTTCTACAAAATGTCTAAACTTCTTCCACCCACCTTGCTTCCCATTTGTTCTCTCATTCAAGAAGAAAGAAGGAAATATAGAAGAAAGGAATGCATCTCATACAAAATCCTCTCCATCAGGCCTCCCATTTTTCTGTTTCAACCTCAGTCCACACTGCTCCAGCTTGCTCTACAGTTAGGAGGAGAACCACCAGAAGTTCTCAGGTGAGCCAGAGGCAGGGAGAATGATCCACATGAACACCAAACTTGGAATGGGCAATATTAGCAACAGGTAGTAGAAAGAACCTTTAAAGAAGTTTTCCTTCAGAATTTTAAAGACTTTTAGCACAATATCCACCCAAACTTCCTAAGAGGAGGGAAGAATCAAGTGAATATAATAACTCTGTGGGTTTTTTTAAGGTTCAAAGATAAATGGACTAAAATCTAAAACATTTAAGATGTAAACATTTTGTAATACACTCGAAGATATTTTTAATATAAAAAAAATCCAGAAAGGAGAATCCAGAGACTTCTTTTCCATTTTCCATTATTGTATCACATTCTCTCAGAGTATTTACTAAATATTGTGGTGGGTCTTTTAATTTCTTCTAGTTGTTACTGAAGCCCTAAAAAATCTTTTGTTGTTTTCCAAGGCTTTCTGTCCACTATGCATCTACTTGTTATGGATGGGGCATAAGATTTTCTCACATGTAGACCTTTTTCAGTGAAGGACCAAAATTTTAATACCTTCACTTGGAAGTCCATGTGGTCTCTGATGAAATTATTCAACTCTACCCTTGAAGCAAGAAAGCAGTAATAAATATTGTAAACAAATGAAGAGAATTGTTTCCAATAAAGTTTTATTTGTAAAATCAGGTAGCTATCCGGTGACCCAGGAGCCATAGACTGCATAATCTTGACCTACAGAAATGTTAATAATTTAGCTGTGGTGAATAATAGCAACAGAATTAAATTTTTTTAAATCACAATGTTTCAGAAAACAGAAACAAATAAACTAAGATAATAGATATTAGTCTAAGGATAATTTTTTATAAACAATTTTAACTCGACACAGACAAAGAGACCATGGCCAAATTATGCAATGATCTACTTGTCAATAAAAACTGATATAACATTAAAACTGCTCTTCTATCTGACAAACAATGTGGAAAACATACTCAGAGCATCTCTGTAAGGAACATGATCAATGAGCATTAACCAAGTAGGCCTGTCCCATGGCTGTCTGTGTGACATCACATTCAAGGTGAGTGCCATGCTTGGATAATAATTCCCAAGGTATAATACACTGATGCTCAAGGGACCAGAAAATTCTCATTCCAATGTCAGATCTTAGAAAATACAATTGATAGGAGCTCCTCTGTGATTACTTTTATTATGAAAATGAAAACAGCATAATCACTGATGTGTGTGTACCTGGAGAGGAGCTCCCAAGATTCATTCATGGGACATGGAATCCCACAGCTTTGTCAACTGCCTTCCTCTCCAGCTCCACTAGGTGACATTTCCAACCCATTCCACCCATTAAGTTTCTCAGGGGGATTGTGCCCTATCTTCTCTGTAGACATCTGCCCATATTGTGTGCTCTTCCTAGAAAATTCTTTCAATCTCCTTGCCAAGGTTATTCCCAGCCTTTTTAGAGGTCTCTGTTTAGATGCTGTTCTTCTAGGAAGCCTCCCCCTCATACCCTCCCCCCATGCCAAGTTGGTTTCCACGGTACTGAGATGCTCAGCCCTCACTCCATCACTGCTGGCTGACTTATAGTACCAAAAATTTGATGCCCATGGACAGCAGCCTTGAATCAATGAATCCTCAGCACTTTACAGCCCAAACAACATACAACATAGTCTATATATTTGAACAAGATGAAGACACAAACCAATGAATGTCACTGGTGTCAGGAAACTCATGAAGTCAAGAAATTCAAATCAGAAAATAAGTACTTTATGTTAACTAAATCTTCTGCAGTCCTTTTTTTCTTTCCATGTTAGAAAAACAAAAAGTTGAAATAAATGTATTTCCTAGGTGCCTCTCAGATTAAAAATTCCACTTCTACTCACCTGAAGGAAACAGGAACTAAATTACTTGTATTTTTTTTTTCTGGAACAGGCATATATTAGAGCTTTCCTCTCTCATCCACAGGCAGTTAATGTGCTGACTTAGCATTTGCTTTTGACCTCCCATACTTGTCTTTCTCCATTAATCCTACAGCATTTTGATGTTTTAATTCAACACATAATTTTACCATATCAGTCAGCCAAACCTGCTCAAGTTTTACTTGCCATGATAGCTTTTAACCTCATATTCATTACCATAATTCTGTTTTATATTATAGACTGGTCAGCTTTTAACTTAAATGCAAGGGGCCCAAAAAAAAAAAAAAAAGTGCTATAGTTTTAAAAGCTGTAAATCTCAGAGGCTAAGGAAGCAGGAGAACAGGAAGAAAACAGTGAATGTGCGAAGCCCTGCTGTCAAAGCAAATCAACGACATGGGGTGCAATTTGTCCAGAGAAATACTCTAGCTCAGATTTTTCACTGCCTCAAAGTCCCTAATAAACTGGTAGAATGTCAGAGCCACTTTATAAGACACCATTTGGGACCTAGGAGTGACCGTGAGACAGGCCAGTCAAAAGAGACTTACGGATTCTCATTCTTAACCTTCCCAAACTGAATTAAATCTAGAATATTCTATAACAAGTTAATGTCTGCAATCAGTTTGGAATGGAAACGAATCATTGAGACAAATGATTGTGATTTCTTTAAAACAACACAAAATGAAATAATCAATATTAATCTATGTTCGTATTTTTGTATTTTGTTAAATAGCTGGAGCAGGTTAAACCTAGCTTTATGTTTTTACTCTCCCTAAATTTTAGTTCCCTATCACTGTCTAAGAGCTGCTACTATCCCTTTTTTTTTTTTTTTTTTTTTTGGCTTTGACCATGAACAAACAGTGAAATCTAGAGGCAACACAGTTTCAGGGGATAGTGGGTCTTACTTAACCACTTTCATCTCACTTACCCCAAGCCCATAGCAGTTTCCCTGTGGCTCAGCCAGTGCCCACAGGTGGGAGGAAGATCAAAGAGAAGTCAGAAAGCCCCATATAACTCAGGAGAGCTTAGAGGTCACTGGTTGCTGGCAGGGCCATATTTTAGTCATCACGAAAATAGTAACCTACCAGCGATAATGGAAGTTCTCTTCACGTAACCAACCATCATCCCAGCCTTTCTATCCACAGCTACAAAACCCCAGCATTGTTCAAGCTTATCTATACAGATCCATTCTTCATTCAGTATGCGTCCCTTCCACCATGTCCTTGAAGATGTTCACTGCTCACGTCTACCCCACCCCCCAAAAACAAACAATCACAAAAAATTGTCTGCACTGTTTTGAATAAATGCTGAATTTTGATAGTCACATTTCATTCACTTAATTGTATAAGTTCAGTCACGAATGTTGTGGGGATCTAGAGTTGCCAGACAGAAAAATCTAAAAATTAATAATCATATCCACCATAGATGATGTTAAATAGACATTGTTACTGTTGGACATGATGATCCTACAAGATGGCCAGTGGCCCCATTTTACAGCTAAAGAGCCAGTCTGCACAAGCAAACTCATGGCCCAAGGTCATATGGCTATCTCCTGATAAAATGTTCTTTTCCTCATGGCAAACTGCTTTAACAGTTATTAACATGAAGATGTTATCCAAAAAGAAAATATGAGAAGGTCATTAGGGGACACTTAAGGATCATTCATATTGTCAGAGAGCCTTCTGATGTCACAAGGTTTTTCACAACAGTTGGAACATAAAATAGTTGAGCCTCAGAATACATAAAAGAAAATGTGTGTGGGGGTACCAAAATATTTAAAAAGTAACTAATAAGAAGGAGCCACAACACATCAGTGATAGGCTCAGCACAGTATCTCYTTTAAATCTGAGGGGCCATATTCTATTTTAGTATAGGTCTCTCCCCATTGGTACAGCAATACTGTGGAGCCTGCTCCCAAGAGATACTTTTGTTATCTTTTGTACTACAGGAAAGGAAAAAGGAAAAAAAAAACTTTAAACATCCATGAAGAGGAAGAATGGAAGGACTGAAAGACCAGAAGACTAGTATATTTCCCAATTGCAAACAGGAAATAGCTAAAATAATAAATGAATGTCCAAATGACAAAACATGAAGTGAAAGGAACATCTTAAAATTATGTTTTTGTTCCTGTGAGGCAACCCAACACTCATTTGGAAAAGCATTTCCTCTCAAGTGATGGAAACTAAAGGCAGAAGGATGTGTGAAATGCAAGGGCATTATTCCTTAGACCTACTAAAATAACACTCTAGCCATTCATCACCAGAGGGCCAAATGCCCACTTGCATTGCAGGACACAGGATTCTCAGCTTTTGTGTAACTTACCCTTGATCAATGGCTAGCACTAAAGTTTCTGGTTCTCCTACAATCTGCATTGTTAGGACCCTATTATGTCACAGCAGTGACAATGCCAGAAGTACTGACATTACTGGATCTGAGTCAGTTCAGGTACCTGGTTTGAGCACAAGAGGGAGAGATAAGGTCAGACCAGTAACCTGATAGGCATCATCATGAGACGCTAGCCCACAGGAGGTCTCCTGCTTGAGGTGGCAAGTTTGGCATGGCCTGGTTTGCTATATAAATACACAAACCTGGCTTGGGACATTGTTAGCAAAGCAGCAACTATGGCCCACCAGATAAGCCAGATTGCACATGAAGACATTGCATTAAACAATGGAACCAGGGTACATAGTGAGCAAACAGCAGAGACTTCAACTGACAGAGGTCCTGGCAGTGCCAGTCCCCTGAAGCATATAGACTTGTGTATTGCATTGCAGGTATTCCATATGCTTGTGTATGTGCAGATGAATGTGCATTCCACCCAATAATTGGGGAAAGTTATTGGCATCAGGTGAATGAGAGCCAGGTTTAGCTAAAAATATTCTGCAACATGTCAGAGAGTTCCTTACAACAGGGACCTTCTGTTGAGAAACACTGGAAGAATTTTCTGTGGATATTCAACTCCCCACTCATCTATCTCAGAATAAACTCCTGAGGGAGAGTGAAGCAATGACAGCAAGAAGAGCTAAAACCCTGGGCAGTGGGTACAAGTCTAAGACCTTTACAAAGTATTGTCAGACATATTTTTAGCTGAGTGACATGGCATTTCTGCCTCTAAAGTCCTTGCTACCTGAAAAAAATTTTTTTTGCATCTCCAGGCCACTGTATTTCCTTAAAATTAAAGAATTATATTAGATGAGTCACTTTCAATCTTCAGTTTTCGATAATAAAACTCTTTCCTCAACTGGAATGGCAAGGTAAACGTAGGCCAATTTGAGATGCTCTGGCCACAGGGGAAGAGAAGTGAAAAGAGGACCTCCCATTGCCAAGGCATATCCTTGACCCCAAGTTCAAGGTTTGAAACAGGAGATCCATAGCAATTGAGATACTTTTAAATGTTTGTGTTCTTAAGATATGCATACAAATTTTGTTTTTGTGGGATAAACAAAAGGCGATGATGACTTGATTAAAAGAACTAGGCCTTTGAAAATACAAAATCCTGACTCTGGAACTCATGGTTCTCAAGTCCAGTTCCAAGTCATGTGTGATTTTTAAAAAATATTTATTTAGTTGTAGATGAACACACAGGATCTTTATTTATTTTTATGTGGTGCTGAGGATTGAACCCAGTGCCTCACACATGCGAGGCAAGCACTTTCCCACTGAGCTACAGCCCCAGCCCCTCATTTGTGAATTTTTGCTTCACTTTCTCATCTACAAAAGGAGCTTGCAGGGCTAGTTCTGCAGATCCAAGGTGACCTGTACTTCTAGCAGCATCTCTTTTGTGCTTCCAGTACACTCTTATTATACCCTAAGAGGAAGCTGTAAAACTTGTCGTATGTGGAGGAGTGTGTCAATGAAGTTGGGAGAGTCCAAGGTAAAGAAAGGAAAAACAAAACAGAATTGGCCTTGGTGGATTTCATTATAGTCTGCTACAAAGAACATTGGAATTTAAGAGACTAAGTCCTATATAGCAAAACCCAAATAGGATATACTGGAAAGTTTTTTAAAGCAATTCTTTTATTTATTATACATTTATTTATTTTATTTATCTTTCTACTTATTTATATATTTATTTTTATGCAGTGCTGAGGATCAAACTCAGTGCATCACATATGCTAGGCAAGCGCTCTAAAACCCAAACAGGATCTACTTGAAAGTTTCTCAAAACAATTGTTTTATTTATTATTTACTTTTTATTTATTTTTATGAAGTGCTGAGGGTCAAACTCAGTGCCTCACATGTGCTAGGCAAGGGCTCTACCATCTACCATCGAGCTACAACCCCAGCCTCTATGCTGGAAATTATTACAAACATAGTCTCCAAAAGGTGAGTTGGAACCTCATATTTCAGAGAATTCTTGACACAAACTATAGTTGGCCATTTGGTTCCACATTCTCAGGTTCAACCAACCTTGGGAGAAAGTATGGAATACACGCAAGGACATTTTGAGGGCGTCTTTATTCAATGAATAATATAGTATAACAACATTTTACTTGCCATTTATATTGTATCAGTAGTTATGTTAATATAGATATGATTTAAAATGCAGAGGAGGAAGTACATGAGTTGTACATAAATACTGCACCATTTTATACAAGGGACCTAAGACTTGGGGATTTAGGTATCTACAGAAGGGTCTTGGAACCAATGCATCGTGAATATGGAGGAACCATTGGATTTTGTTCTCTTTTATCTATGGTTTTTAAATACTGAATTTATCAATTAAAAACAGGACATTCTTGGGGTGGCACAGAAGCTATTTCCCTCAGCCCAACCTCTCTGCACCATCCCCATGCACGCACAAGCTCCCACAGGTTAGAAGCAGAGCAGACTCACGTGCCCAGTCGCTCTTCGTGCTTTTTGCTGTCTCTTCCCCACACTTCAATGTCCAAAATGCCCATCCTGTCAGAGAAGTAGTGAAAGTCAAACTGTTCCTGCCACTGCGGATTTGCACTCTTACACAGTGTCTAGAAAACATGCAGTTATAATATTTATTTTCTTAAAACGTCATACATTGCTATAGCAGCTACACATTTAATTTCATTTCTAAATGGCAGGCGGTTGTGACTATAGACTTGCCCCTTATTAAGTTAAACTTCCTTTTATTAAATAAAAGTGACGTCGAGGGTTCAGAAATTGGCAAACACATGGCTACTTTAACTGGTCTTAGATTCAATAATTTATCCAAGTTCAGAAGAACGACGTAAGAAACCAAAAATATCATATTCACACCCATTGGTATGTGTATATAGTGGATGTACATCAATAGACAGTGGGCAATTTTTCTCTCTTGAGAAGATAATACTAATTGGAAAATCAAATGCAAGTAACATATTAGTTGGCTTATGCATTCAGTGCTGGCTTAGGAACTACATAAATTAACTGTTTTGGGGTCTTAATTAACATTGATCAGATGCATTAAATGAGAAACCCATAACTTGTACATTGATGTCTGTTTCTCAAATCCAGTTACTGGATCCAGACAGTAAAGTGGGGATAAGACGTGGAAATTCCACTGCAGCCATACTTGAAAATTAATAAGAGTAGTTTGAAAGTTTTACAACTAAGTCTGTATTCTCTAAGAATAATTTCAAACCATATATGTGTTGGGTTCATTGGCAGGATTTTCATTTTTCTTTCATCTATGGAGATCCAATTTATGAATATGGTGTGAATAAAAATGTTGAACACTGTGTATCAGCTCTAGGGACACAGTATCAACTACTAAATCCTGGCAATGACTATCTATGCATGAGAAAAACAGGGGCAACTCTGATCTCAGGTGTAGTCAATGTCACAAGAAGTCATTTAACTGGGCTTTCAAATCACACTATATCAGATCACAGAATTTGGAAACCAGGAAGAAAAAGGGATGTATTAGAACCACGAATTATATATGTAGTGTTCCCCAAAGGGCAATGTGGCAGATACGGGACAAATTCTACACTTCACCTTAGTCCAAAGAGCTGTGTTCCAAGTGATGAATAAGTTCCCACAAATCCTGAGCCTGACCCTGACTGGCTAAAGGAATCTTAGTGGAGAGTTGTGGTTACTTCAGAAACACTGGTTATAAAGTACAGCCTAAAACTACCAGCTTAAAATAATTATCTGTGTGTTTCTTCTATAACTCACCCTAGATTTTTCACAATCCTTATAACTTATTCTTCAACATGTGCCTATTCCTCTACTCCTTTGTGCTGAAATTTTAAAAATGGCTAATATGGGATTTTGCACTGGAAATTGTGCAGCAGAAGACAACCTCTTGCCTTCTGAAATCATTTTCCAAGTTTTCTATTTCTTCTGTGCTCTCAATGCTGGAAAGTCCAAAATGCAAATATCCTGGGTCTATTTTCAAAAATTTCTACTGAATTTTATTCTATGTGGCTTTTGACAAGTGACATAACTTTCAAGTACCTTAGCTCTTTTGATTTATAAAACATATGAAATATTCCTGTCTGACAATTATGTAAAACTAATTAATTTCCATGGTTTAGAGACTATGGTTTGAAATAAAATCCACACCAAATTGCTAAGATTAAAAATTAAATGGAATTTGGATTTACAGAATAAGAAGATTTAAAGACAGTTAAAAATGCCATTACTTTCACTTTTAATACTGTAGTAGTCTATTTTTTTAAAAAAATCACATCAAAACCAGCAGCACTTAGATAACTATTTTTGGTATTCACACTAATAAGTGAGAAACAGCACAGAGGTATATAATTTTGAAAATTTTTTTTCAGTTATCTCTTATATTTTAATCCAGATTTCAAGCAGTATGTGATTTTATTTATATAGGATTTTGGAGACATCCAGCTATTTTTTCCCTGAATTCTCTGAAACCATTTTTATTTTCAAAATGAAAATAAACCGTGCATTCAAAACTATGACTCAAAGCTTTCTCTAGCTATGAGTTATTCTATTAAAACAAATTACACTAAGCAATCAAAGCAATACTCATATTAATTGACCGCATCTACATCATTATTTTGTTTTCAGTAATGTTCTCTATTATAGTTAAGACATCTAAAAATAAGTTATTTCTATTTTTGTGAAATTTATAGTAGAAAACTAGTTTTTAGCTAATTTTTTTTAAATTCTGAAAGACATCATCTTTGTTGTGGCATTGATAGAACTTACCTTGCTTTTATACCTCTGATCTCCCAGTTTTAACTGGACAAACATTTCGGTCATGTTTCCTCCTGAGACGTTCTTCCCTTCCAACAAAGTTATACTTATAATTCCATTCCAGAGTTGGTTCTTTCTCAAGGACTCTGAGAGCCGCAGACTGCGTATCAAAGAGGACTAGAGCAAAAAAATAAAGATGACATATAAATGTACTGATAATTATTGGGAGTAATTCTGTCCATCTTAGGAATTCCAGCTTTCAGTGTTGGATTATGTAATCACTCCTTGCCTGAGGAGAAGTGCTATTCTTCCTTGATTTCTCAGCCCTGCAGTCACAGTTATATGACTTGCTTCTGCAGCTTTGGACTTATAACAGTATAGCAAAGGATGAGCATAAGCAACACTCTGATTTGGCACTGGTATACACTCCCACCCAGTTTGTTCTTTGCTAACTTTGTTCTTTGTTCTTTGGAGTGTTTTAATAGTAAGAAGGGAAGAATGGCATTTGGGGGAACAGAGATATCAGAAAGAGGCTTTGCATGTCTGGGAGACATGGTATCCCTGGACATTCAAAATGACTATGGATTTATCCTTCACATTTGAATATGTCTCCATGTCCCCTTATTCTTTGGACCAATTTTGGAAATCTCTATGCCCCTGTGAGAGTAACAGTTCCAAACTCAGCTTGTAGTGGCCTAGCTGACCAAATGAACTTTGCAGATCGAGTGGGTAGGGTGGGGTGGAAAGGAGGATACACTAAGTATCATATAGCAGCTGGACCTAGAAGGGGATACTTAACTATTAACCTATTTTTTCTTTTACTAAATTATATTATTTATGCTTACCCATAAATACCTTGAACAGAATATAGAAAAAGGCAAACATTACTTATTATTAAATGATAAAGATGATTGTATTCTAAGTATTTTTAATTTATTTCTATTATGTAAAAATTTTAAGCATACCCAAAGGTAAAGACAATAAGCAGCATGATAAATATCCATGTATTTACTCACAGGATTCAACATTTTGCCTACTTTAGTTCATTTCTCCCTTCATTATATTTTCTGGCTAAAATATATTAAAGCTAAATTCAGCATTTGTTTTTACATAATCATCATACCATGATCACCCTCAACAAAGTTAATCATAAAAAAGTTTCCTCGATATCATTAAATACTGCACATATTCATGTTTCTCTGAAGGTCTAGACAATGTCTTTCTATGATCTGAGTTAGGATCCCCACATGATCCACCTGCTGCATTGAGTTGGCAGCGTTCATTTGTGTTCTCAGCTCCATGAGAGAAATGGCACAAGCATAGACTTTTTATTTGAAGGAGAAATAAATGGGCTAAGGAATGTAAATGGTGTTCAGCATCATAGTCAAGCAATGAATTTCTAACACTATATATTCACTCCTGTTGTCCGCTCACTATATTTTCAAGATCATTTAGACACCAATTTTCTTGGACACCAGTTAGTAACAATTTATCACAACAAATGGTATGTCAGGACAATGTTAATTATATACCAGCTTACCTCAGCCAGCCCACGTCATCCCCCCATCTCAATAAACTATGCAACACCACCATACCAGGGCTTTTGTTGATCATTCAGGGAAGATCTACTTCCAAAGCAGCAGTCGATACACGTTGCTTTTTTTCAGAAAAACACACAAACACACACACACACTATTTAGAGGTGCTGCTTCAAAACAGGGTGGGCAAATGGGTAAAGAATTAAAAGAACAAAAGTCCTCCTCTTACATCTTTCTTAACTCCCATTAGCAATCATGAACAGATAGAAATATACTCAACTAAAGTTTTGTGAAAGAGATAAAATTAAGTAACATTATATTTGTTAATAACAACACACCATAATATGGAGACAGGCATAGATGTGTTTACATTCACAGATGTGTATACACCTACAAAATATACTTACTAGATTTTATAGCTTGTATAGTATATGGGTCAAAAGCTTCTACCTTTAAAACAAAAAGATTTTGATTCATATTTCCTGCTGCAATTCCTTCTTTTCCTTTTTTTTAACCCCCCTTTCTAAAAGTTTGACTTGCCAACCAACAAGCTAAGACATGACCCGTCCCACGGCCATGCTTCAAAGTTCCGACAGATATATTCCTCCCTAAGCACTGCAACTATTTCAAAATCCTTTTTATAAAATAGGGAGTCATGTCCACACAGGATCAAAGGGCATCCTACAGTCTGGCAATTGCCTAAGAAAAATGGCAGCACTTCCATGAAATATGCCCTAAAATAATTTTGTAGCTTGGTATGTCCTAATTTCAAATTGGATGTTTATCTTGGAAAGGCTTCTATCTAACTTGTCCATAAAACAGCTCCACTTAGCTCTATGAGCTCTGTGAAAATGGAATCCAAAGCTGGTTATTAAGGGGGCCTAGAGATAGGTTCCATATGGCGGAACAGCATGGGAGGGCAAGGCTGAGGCCTATACAGGCGGGGCTTGGCTGGAGCTCCTGATCTATCCATGGACACTCGTTGCATTACACCATAACATCTGGATTATTGCTTGTAATGTCCCTGGGAAATATCCACTTTCCATCAAAGCCTTTATCTATCTCAGTCGGACTTTGAACATTTTAGTATTTAACGCAGTCGTGTTTGATCTGATGGACTTGTTCTCTGCTGTCCAATTTTTTTTTTCCTCCTTCTGAAAGGCTGTATAGAAGAGAAATTTTTGTAGAATTCACAGATAGAAAAGGACACAAGACCTTTATTCTACTTATTTCACCCCAAATATTTCTGCAAATGCCACTATAAGGCTATGTCCAAAATAGTTTTGTTTGTGAGCCACATATTCTGTGTGGAATTTAAAGAAGTTTTTTTTTTTTTAAATTACTTTAACATTTCTCTTGCACCCTTGAGAGGTGTGCTGAGGCAGAAGGTATAACAGCAGAGTCTGTGGTTGGGGGCGGGGTGGGCCATTCTCGATGTGCTGTAACAGAGCCAGCTGGCAAAATCTTCTGTGTTCCGCTCTTTCTCCCCACAATAAATCGATTCATCTGCACTCACTCAGTTAGCTGAATTGCTCAGGTTTCCATATCTGTGCCCCCACCTATAAGTGAAATTTGTCATCTTAATGCAGCTGGGGATGTGAAAAGAGAGGAGATGACCCATCACAGGGGAAGCCCACTCTACCTGAACTGAACTGAAACAAGCACCAGGAGATAGAGCAAAGTTTCTGGGTCCTGACCCTAATTCCTCAGCAGACATAACAGATGAAATATAGTCCATCAGGGTTTTGTTATTTTTCACCTTCCTCCCAAGAGATCGGAACCTTTTGCTATTTCTGTGTTCATTCCATTCATGTGCACTCTTCCTCAGCGCCCATGCCATCATATCGACACCCGCTCTTCTAAGAGAGAAAAAGTGATTTCCACGTAAAGCACACGGGTCGGCTATGAATAGTAGAAATAAGGCATGGTGTTCAGCTTATAAGCATACGGACTCGCATGAACATGAAACAACCTTGAAAATAGTCATTTGCCTCTGGGTTATGACAAACCATAGTCGAGGCAGAATGGGAAGAAGGAGACTGGGCCTAGAAGTATATACTATGCAACTTTCATTCACCTCAAGTAGTAAAAGGATTCACTTCCAAGGCCTCAAAAGTTTGTGACCTAGGAATACTTCATCAAAACAGTGAACATGCTGTATTCTAAAGACATATAAAATGGGCTATAGCTTAGCAACAGATATTATTTGGGCTATATGCTGACAGGCATAATGGGGAGATGGTGATATGGAGTCCAGTAGCCTAATTCTTTGGTGTGGCTAACAACAACAACAAAAAAACCCAGGGATGATGTAAGGACAACTCAGTACCTCCTATCTGTAACAAGTGGCAGAGAGGTTAGGAGCAAAGAAAGATCTAGAAAGAAAGGAGTAGAAACTGGTGTTGGCTCTGCAGCCATTGTTACAAGGTTACATTCATCTGTGCCAAACTCTTCAGCTGATGATGGTGACCAACACCAAAGAGTGATTATCCAGAATACTTCCTTACATATAACAAAATTCAAAAATGGGATGCAATGAGAAAAGACAGTGACTAGGGTGTATCTACAAGGTGCCAAATACTGGGCCAGTATCCTCTCAGTGATCAAAGATTAACAATATCAGTGTCCCATACTGCTAACACATCCTATATTGACTCTTATTATTTCGTTTTCAATGAAAACACATGCACAAAAAAAAAAGTAAACTAAGCTTGTGAGAAAAATGAATGGTAAAGCAGGATTCCAGCTCTGCTGACCATTGCTTTGAAAAGCGAAGGGGAAACATGGGTCTATAAAAGCTTTCACTGAAATATTCCTTTCAAGTATTTTCAACATGTAAAACTACTGTTCCTTGTCAACAGCTTTTATAGCAAGACATGAGAAGATCCATACATCCAGGGAACAGGCTCTCAGACAAGACCTTCTCCGGCAGCTCTTTTACATCATCTGAAGAGGATCCTGTAGCCATAAATTGTAGAGCTGCACAAAAATCTTTGCATAAGGATAAAAAGAAAGCCTTTTAAATTTCCCACATGTGCATGAACACGGAAGATGAGATTTATATTTGTAGGTGAAAACTCTATCACAGTTCCAAGGACATAAATAATCTGTGTGTACAAAGACATTAGCTATAAAAGTTCTGTTTTAAATTTAATATTTTGAAATTATAAGGGACTGTCATCACTCAAGTTTTCCACTTAAAAATAAAAAAAAAGAGTTAACTAAGAAAAGATTAAATAAATAGATAAGGATTATAAATATCCAATGACACTCAGAATTTAGGACCAGGGAAATATTTTTAATGAAATTTCCTACCATTAAAAACTAGAAGAAAAAATGAAGGTCATGTGATCCAACAAGATTATCTTTTTGTTCTGACATCTAGGAAACTGAATGTTGTGTCCAAAGGCAATGATGTTAATCATCTAGTATTCGATTTTTGGGTTATCCTAATTGTGTTTACATCTCTGTTCCATTTGTCTATTCTTCTCCTTTACTTAAAGTACTACAGAAACACCTTTACTTAAAGTATTTCAGAGTCCAGGACTGGCAACTCACAATCAAGCTACTGAAAGTGCAGAGCTGATATCTAAGCCAGGGTGTCTTCTTATGTTTTGCACAATAGGTACCTCCTCATTGCACCCTAATCCTAGCCCCACCCACAAGATCTAAGGACTTGCAGCCACAGCTGATGACCCACAAGGGCTACCCTTTCCTACACCTACAATTTGACTCCTACTATTCCAGTCTCCCACTTAATTCTCTAAATCAAATTCCCCATTCCCAATCAAATGCTAATTATAAAGACTTTTAGGTGAAACCTGTATCTATTTTTGAAGGCAATCTCTATATATTTCCTACATCAAAAGTGGGGCAGAATAGTAAGGAAACAGTAAAGAAGAGGGTATATCAAGATTCTTCCATTCAGCAATATCTGGGATGATACAAAATTATAAAGTTATGGGAAAAGAATCAATAATCTAAACAAAATTGCTCTAAGAATTACACTGAGGTTAAAAAAAGGCAATGATATTTTACACTAATCCACTATATCAGAACTAGTAAAATTTTATACTCCTAATGAAGTAATCTTCATGCAAATATTACTCAATATAAAAATCCTCAGAAAGAAACTTCTAGTTAAAAAATACCAAAAAGGCCAACTAGGATATTTTAACCACTTTTACAATATTAATCAGAGTGCCTACAGTTTTCATTGACTTGTTTTGATAAGCCAAAAAGGTATCTCAATTTTTTCTTTTAAAACTGCATACTCCCAGAAGCAAAACAATCAACGTAACTATAAAAAGCCTTCACCAATCCATAACTTACATGTCAAAAATAAGATCACAAGAAGCTTTCAATGAACTTTATCCAGCTATGATCTTAACTAAGTATAAATACGARGTTTGGGCATTTATTACATTCCTGAGCCCAGTATACAGAAGTCAAAATTCTGGAAACTACCATGATTTGGAGGAAAAAAAAAAAGACAACAACTCAGTTTTGAGACAAAACTCTGCAGTCTATATATAAATACTGCTCTCTGGATCCTCTGTTCCCTTCATATTTTTGATATCTTTATCCAAGCCGTCAACATGTTTTCTATCCCTCTTCATTCCTTTGGCCATTCTTCCATAACCTCTCCTATCCTCCCTAGACTCCAATATTCCCCAAGCTCACAATTTTTCTTTCTAGCCTTTATGTTCTTCAACAAACTGCCAGTGCTCTTCCACAGACCGAAGCTCCCTAACTAAAGATGGTTATTGATGTACAGTACCAGTGTTTTAGTGCGGCAGCAGAATCAATAAACGAGAAAATACTGCTTTGTCAGGTTTCAACAAAGCATTCTGGGAAACTTTACTGCTTTGGGTGGTTACAGAAATTCTTAATACAGAGAGCGAGAGCTGGGCTCCCTTTTGTGGTGAGAAATGATGTTCTTCTACCCTCTAGTGACTATAAAGGAATAAAGCAAAAGTTGGAGGAATTTTGAAGACAGTGTTGCACTATTATTTATCATCTCTTAAGTTTATTTTTAAAAAGAACAAGAGTGTAAGGAACCAGGCGAACTGGTAGGATAACAAATCACTTTATCATACTTATTCTAAAATGTTCAAAATGCAAAGCATTTTAGTAAATGCGTGTCAGAACTTTGGTTCCTTTGGATTTTTTAAAAATACAATGGATTATAATTGCTCTCCCTCTCACATACACACACCTATACACCACAGAATCTCTGACCTGGAGGTGCCACCAGTTTCAAATTCCTTACTTTACAAAGAAGTAGGCAACTAAGGTACATTAGGTTATAATTTAGAGATGTCACATGTGTATTCAGATATGTGGGTATATACATGTATACAGAGAGACTGTGCAGCTTCTTCCTGACACCTGCAAACCACCCTACCACCATTCAGAAACTGAACTGAACAAACAGCTTGAAATATTGCATCATTTAATAGGAATTATTTTTTTATTGATTATTAATCTTTTAAAAGTAATAGAGGTGCTAAATTAAGCTATAAATACATTTTGGGTTTTGCTTATTTCTAAAATAACTTTTACACTTAGTCACCTAAGTTAAATTTTGCTAATTTGATAACAATTAATTATTAAATAATGCATTCCTACCTTGATACACTTATGCTTTTTCTAAATTAAATATTTATAAATTTTGCTTATAAAGATACTAGGAATGTAAAAACAAACAAAAGTATTATATGAAAAAATTTTTTAAAAGAAATTCTTACCAAAAAGTGACTTTTTCCAAAAAATGTGGAGACTTATAAAATATAGCATATATTCAGTCCTTTCAATCAATTATTACATTGCCCCTATAACATCAAAGCTGGTGTCAAGCTAATGGTAAATAACTTCCTAAAGGACTAAAATGAACCATGCTACATTATAAATAATCCAAGCTTAATGAAGTGTAAACTTCTAACATGGCCAATACATATAAAATGTCRTCACTCCAAAAAGTGTAAGTTCAAACATCTGGATATGCCTTTATTTAATAAAATGTTAAAGGAACATTGTTCCTTTCTTATTCATTTTGGCAGTAAAAGGCAGAGAATGTGGTTACAAGTAAAGAATGGATAATATCAATTACATATACATCTGTATCTGTTACAAGCATAAAGTTTTAGTCAAATAATCTAAACAAAAAAACAAGGGTACTTACCTTGCTGGCACTCAGGCGCTTCCGATTTGACCATCGCTATGGATCATGTCCATTGAACATTGAACATGGCAAAATGAAAGAGAAACAGAATGGATAACAATGTAACCATATTATATTATATGGTGCAGATTACGTGCACATGAGTGATAACCAAATTTGGAAGGTACCATGAAAGTGCATTTGAGCAAACAGTAACAAAGAAAAATCACCACGTTTATGTTGTTGTGTTACATAATTTTCTCAAAGCATTTTGTATGCAAAGGCAATGACAGATGAATACTTTTCAATCTCTAGAAGTACATTTGTTCCTTATTTTTTTAAGAACTTAATCTTTATTTATTTGTTGTTATTTATTTGTCTTTTTTATGTGGTGCTGAGGATCAAACCCAGGGCTTCACCTGTTCTAGGCAAGTGAAACCCAAAACCTGTCCACATTTGTTCTTTAAGTTATCTTAAGACAGTATAACTTTATCTCTTAAAAAAAATTTCTCCTGTTTGAAATTTACAAATTTTACTACCAATGTTAGTTCATGATTAGGGGTCCAAGGTTTTGATAACACAAAACACAATTTTGTTCACTTTCATAGCTCATTCAATATGACACAACATTCAATACGACAGAAAAAATCCTAAATCATTATTGTCCAATTAATAAAAATGAGTCAATATAACTGTGTAGGAGGGTAGAAAAATTTTCTGAATAGCAAAAAACTTCACCCCTGTTATCTTCTGATCTCTCACTTGTCATTTGAAAGCTGCTAAATTTCATCTACAATTAAAATTCTCTCTCAGCAAAATCCTCTCATAACTTCTGTGACCATCCAGTACTTCAGAGCTCTACTCTGGCTGGTTAACCAGCTAACTGGATGTTAAAACTTGGATGAATTTGGGAGATTACAACTCAATTATGTATCTAATCGAGCAGACCCCATTTACTGATATGCTTAAGAAAAAAAATACCTTTAGGTAAATGACCTATCCACTTGGCCAATAATGTCTTCCCAATAAATGAGAATTAAAAAAAAAAATATTCTTTAAGGGAAACCCATTTACCCTCCATTGACCAGCAACTAGAACACAATGGTACAGAACTGACTTGAAAATATTCTTTGTGAATAAGGCTTTCCTTGGTGAAACAGGATTCAACATTTAGCACACGACATGGGGTTATGATAATACAATCAGGGTATTAAAATCAGGTTTCCTGGTATTTTCTCAACATGACAATGAATATTTTCACCCAATTCAAGCACCAAAATTAATTACCATCTTATAGGTACACAGGGCTCTTTAGCCCTTTGATGGATAATATGTCATTTGATTTTTATAATGATTATAAAAGACAAAATAGATCAGGATAAAAAGGGAAGTGACTGGTACTATTTGTTGACTTACTGCTGTGCTATGAAATACCACATATTGAATGTCTCTACAGCATGCCAAGCACCCTATTTGGTAACCTCAATCTTCATGACCATATGAAAGATACTCTTCTTATCCGTATTTCATACATAAGGAAACTGTAGCTCAGAAAGGTTAAATAATTCTGAGAATTTTACCAGAGCATTGGTGGTACTGGAGTTTAAACATGGGCAGTCAGATGACAGAGTCCATTATTTTAATTACAATCCTATTTTTTCAAAGGAAAGGAAAAAGCATATTTTTCTGTCTTCCAGTCTCTTCCAGCCAGAGCCTTACCTTCTGACTGTACCATGCTCACATATATTTAAATCCCTAGACACAATAGTAAATTTAAAAATATTGCATAGATGAAGGTTTTTGCCAGTGTGGTTCTAAAGCAACAAAAACCAACTCATGGTGTTGCAAAGAAAAAACAGGCACATGACTAGGAATTTAAACTGAAATTTCTCCAACAAAGTTTAATTTAAAATAATATTTAAGGACTGCAGGTTGTAGCTCTGTGGTAGAGAGCTTTCCAAGCATGCAAGAGGCTCTGGATTCCATCACCAGCACCGCAAGAAAGGAAAAAAAAAAAAAAAAGGAAATTTATAAATTACTTTGATCAAATAATCTAGTGCCCTCCAGTCCCAAGTGGTAGTCATGTCCACTTAAAAACTCTATGTAATATTTCCTTTAAATATGAACTTAAACTCAATGAAAACAACAAACATTTTCTTTTGTCTATTATACCCAAAGGGCCCATGACATGCACTGTAAGTTGAATAACCACATATGGCCTCCAATAAATTATGCTTCAATTAACTGTTCCTTGATAATATTTTGATCAAGTATACAAAAAAAAAACCAGTCAAAATAAATGCAAACAGGCAAGGTTTTCTCTGTTATAATATATCTATAAGAATATACAAAATAAATATATTGTACATCAACCCTTGCCAGGAAAAAAGAACAAGAATGGAAACAAGTGAGCAGAAAGTCTTAAAAATTCTTCAACACAAGGGATGGGGAAGGTCAAGTAAAAGGAAAGCCAACTATAGTGATATTCTTTGAGATGTTTCAGCAAAACAAATCTATACTGCATCTAATATTAATCGGCCCGCAATTTGAAATAAACTGAAACTGTCATGTCACTAAAATTCTAAATTTTAGCAATATTTATAAGTGTATTTTAAGAGCCAATATGACTGTTAAATATAATCAAATATACTACAGAAAAATTCACAAAAATAGTCATTTCAATACATAACTATTTTTATTGGGAAATCATCTAATTTTCAAAATACCTCTGAAGTATGTTAAAATTTTTTTAACAGATATATGTTAACAAATATACAACCATGTGGCAAATTATACTTATTTACATGGTATTTTATTCTAACCTAGTATCCAACTCAAGAAACCTATCACCTGCAGTACCATTGACATAGAAGAAGACTGAGAGGAAGTTAGAGAACAACACTCCATCACTACGTGAGTAAGGAAAAAGTTTATTTTTAGCATTAATAACACATTTTAACATCAAAGTATCAACTTTATTGATATCCTAAATGTGAATTGTGCCACATTTTTAAAAAGCAATTAATAGAGTTTTCTTCTGTTGCTGTCAAGTAAATTCTCACAAATAAGGAATTTAAATTTAAAGATCAAGAGTTCAGTTGACCCTCTGGCAATTAAAAGTTTAGTGTTCTAAAGCTGTCTTTATGATTTTCCTAGAAAATCATTCATGATATTTTTAATTAAATAAGTTACTTAAAAATTACTAGTTATGCCAAAACAAAAAGTTCTCTCCTTAAGCAACTCACTGCCTCAATTCAAGAAACATTTTTAAAGGCATTATTATTAATAAGCTTCAGATTTTTACAGTGGATTCTGCACATGTGAAATTGTTATACATCTTACTCTTTTTCAAATAGGTATTTAGCTGGCTTTAATAATATCTTTCAAATAAATTAGCCAAAACTCATTTTGTCTTATTTTAATTCCTGGAATTATCATGCATAATCCCTAAAAATAAAATGACATTATGATTCTTATAAACAAATGTGCTCATAAGAAGAGTCTCAATTGATTCTATCTTGTGAAGTCTAATGTTTTGTTGATGTTATAGGAATCTTCAGTGGGTAGAACATTAATTAGAAATTTCAATGTAATAGACCAGAGAATATTAAAATTTGCATCTTTCTCAAAGCAGTACCAATAGTGCACTTAGTAGCTAAAGTTTATTAAAAAAAAAGAGGAATGATGCAAATGTATACTCAATCACCTTAATAAAATGCAATCAATAATTAAATCCTGAGAACTGCTTTTCATGACAGAAAAATATCTCAGTTATCTGGGACCTAAAACACTACTACTAAATAATTGAAAGCATATTTTGTATGATAGTTATGAACATACCACATGTATCATGTAAGTTTTAATAACACTAATGCTAACCATATCCATAACTAAAATAGAGATTAATTTCTAAGTAGATTTTCTTTTCAGGATTTCAAAAGAGAAGATGTATATAACCACAGATAGGCACTTTAACTCTATGAAAATGTTTCCACTCCAAAAATCATCGTAAAAATGTCAGTTATCTGCAGCCCAGCAACCAAAGGACAATCACAATGACAAGTTTAAAAAGCACAAAAGGGTCACACTTACGTGTCTCTTGAAATCACCCTGTTTTACTACTAGGTTCAAATTCAACACAATCACTCCCATGTCATCTTCTAAACTGTTTGGATCTTCCAATTTTAAAATATGCTCAGTTGTTCTACGAGCCAAAAAAAGAAAAATAAATGTAGCACTTATTAACAGTAGCACTTACTGTTGTAGTTCATCAGGAGTTTAAAGTAAAAGTTTCCTTCTCCTGGAAAACTATTAGACACAATGCTAAAAAGGCCCTAAATTTAGTGATCGTAAACCAACCGGAAAAATTATTTGGAATTGTCTAACTCAACAGTTGGTTAACTTATCTCCCTCTCCTAACACCCAAATAAAATATACATGTTTGTTTTAAATTAGGTTAATGACCCTGAATATTAATGAATGAGCAAAACCCCATATACATTTTAGAATACATAATATATGACTTAGTGCCTGATTAACATTTGACATCTAGAAAGCAAGTCTCAGAAAATATGTTGAGAGCTATAACACTTTAAAGCACTCTTCCTGTCATTCATATTATTTTGTTATTTGATCTAAACAAGTACCATTTAACATCATCTTGAGTTCCTTCTAAAATTGCAGTAATGACATTTAAGATGTAAAACTACAATACCTGTTAAGTTCAAGATCACTGAGAATGATAAATGCAGAACCCATGAAATCAGATGTGGTTAAATCTCGATCATACACCTACAAAAGGCAGAGGCCAGTTAATGCACGTGAAAATGGTAATAAACCAATCAAGTTTATTAAATGATTAACAAATGCAATAGGCTAGAAATTTTGAAATCCACCTTTCAGATCTTAAAATAATCCACCCAGTATAGGTAAAGAAAAATTTAGCCAAGCCTATTCAGAGAACAAAATTATCCAGTATTGCCCATTTTGCCTACACATGGACCAAACAACAGTAGAAAAGACTTTCAAGTCGTATGCATATGCATTAAAATGCTACGCACAATGTACCGCTCTCTTTAGTTTAAATGGCCTCTCATTAAAATTTAGTATTTTCCATGGTGAGTAGATCTGCCAATTAAATAAGAAATTTGCTAAATATTCTATAGCAATCCCATTCTGCACTCAACTCATGCAGTGTTAACCCAGATGTTAGAGCAATTGATGCTTGCACCCAGTAGCTTGAAACTCTATTAAGTATAAAGTTAGTCCTAATGAGAAAGGCTTTAGTACCTGTCACCGTTGCACTACCAGTAATAATTCTTCCACATTCAGTAAATTTGAATACAATCAATGGAGATATTATTTTCACTCTGATTTGCTATAGAGCCTCTCTCATTGATTTGAGAGAAACATAAAGTTTCTGCTAATGGTATAAAGAATTCATTCTCTATCATTAATACCCAGCCTTGAAGATTAATAAGGGCAAGTTAACTTTTAAGAAGTCATGGAAAAACTACTGAGAAATATTTCTACTAGAGGAGGAGATTTGAAAAGCATCTATGATTACCTTCACCCGCAGCTTTTGATCAAGGCTTTGTATTGGCAACACAACTATCTCATCCCAAATTGGGTTTAAGTTCTTATATATGACCTTGCTTTTGTACAGCGTCTTCCCATTCAGCTTAAATTTCACATATGGATCACTTGTGCCTTTAAAAGAGAAAGAACAAGACAGAAGTTTTAACATCCAGGTTTAAGTCTAGAATCTCTATTAAGTAAAGATGCTTCCCACAGTCCCCAGGCTCAAAGCAGTCTACCAAGCAACACCCAGAACAAACATCTCCTTGCATAGAGAAAGAAGGCCCCAGAAAAATAAAAAAAAAAAAAAATGGGGGAGTGAATGACTAATTCCCCTTTGCCTTTACAGTCAGAATACCAATGGGTTCCCTGAGCTTTTTCTGTTTGGTTTCATTGTGGATACATCATTCCTCCCCTCCCTACCCACAAAAATTCCAGAAATCAACATCAGTGTCAGGAGTCATGGGGAGAAGCCCACCCCTCCTAGGGATAGCAGAGAGTCACTGAAAAGGGAAAAAAAAATGTTTCAAATATTTAGCCAGATGGCTGCTTCGACAGAACCCCATACTTTGAAATATAATCATAATAAATCAATCTCCAGAACCAGTGGCTCAAAAGATGGGGTGATGGGACTCAGACTGGATCTGGGGACGTAGAGATTAAAACAACAGAGTTGCCATTCTCTGTGCATCCAGGCACCTGCACGACAGCAGAGAGCATTGTTTGCCCCCTGCCAGGGGAACTCCAGTCAGCCAGGCCCTCAGCTGGCCTCAGCCCTGACACCGCTGACCTGCTGGGTCCTTCCCAGGGGCTGTGAAATGGACACCAAAAGGGAAGAATAATGTCCCTCCAGTTACTGCGCTCAAAGCAAAATGAAGGGCAATGGCAGATCCTCTTCCATAGTTTTCAGATCAATTGAGAGGAAAGAAAAAAAAAAAAAAACAGGCTTTAGACATAACATGTGAATTACGTGCTGTGTCCGTGTGTTACATGCATAGGCACCATCGTACAGTGCCTGGGATATGCTAGTTCATTAATACCTGAGGAAAAGCAAAAAAAAAAAAAAAAAAAAGGACAAATGAATGAAAAATCAATGAGGGGATAGATGAAGATCATCTGAAAATGCTATAAAGAAGAAATTCAAATTTGAGGCATTGTAGTTCATTCTGAAGCACAGCACTATGAACAGGAATATGAATACCAACAATCTACCCCAAGTGGCTTGGACAGAGAAGATAGGTTCCCAGAAATATTTACTGAAATGAATTTCTAATATCAAAGTGGAGCAAAAATTATGTAAGAATAAAAATTATCGATTAGGTTACTCTGGCCCAAGCATTTATAGAATTTTTTAAAAAACTTTTTAAAGTTGTTGATAGACCTTTATTTTATTTACTTATATGCAGTACTGAGAATCTGACCCAGTGCCTMACAAATGCTAAGCAAGTGCACTACCGCTGAGCCCCAGCCCCAGCATTGTTAATACCCATCATTAATTAATTGAATTATTTTTCAGGTCCTTTTGTGTTTTTATTTGGCCCCATATTAAAAATTACTTTAAAAAAATGTTTCCCAACCATTTTAGCTGAAAGTAACATCACTATAGAGGAAGAGAGGTGGGGAAAGGAGATGTCCTGGGAATAATTGCTCGAATTATGTTATATATATGTACAGATATGGCCTAACAAATCCCACTATTAAGTACAATCATAATGCACCAATGAAAGAAAGTTTTAATAGGTATACCAAGGTACAATCTGAAAAGTCAGCCTTCCAGCATAACAAGGCTACTACTAACTTTTTTTCTTCCTTTTATTATGCTGGGGATGGAACCCAGGGCCTCTCAGATGCCAAGTAAATGCTCTACCACTGAGTGATTCCCCAGCCTCCAGGATACTAACAAAAGAAATTAAGCTATAGATACATGTATATATTCAACTCTCACATTTTAAGTTTGGCAACACAGAATATGGGTAGAAGCCCAGTTCCTCTGATTTGAAACTTGGGCACACACACAACATGTTGAGCAGCAGCTCTTAGAGGGATAGTGAAAATAAATGCATTCACAGTCATTCAGTGGAATTCTCAGTAGCGAGTGAGCAACCCGCCCACCCGCCTCCCTTTAACAGTCCAAGAGAAATCCTCTGGCTAGCCAGACTTTAACAATCATTCTGATTTTTATATATTATATATATATATAGAGTGGTGGAAAACTATAATAAAAAGAGGCCTTTAATTAAATGAAATTGCCACTCTGGGATCAGGCCTTCATGCTTGTCAGCGTACTCTCAAAATAAACATCTCAAAACTCGGCCTCCGTGGTGTCACTTTCTCACAGGCAAGGCATACTGGGTAATCCCCAGGCATCTTGACAGCTACATAATGTTCAAACTGTTTCACGGGTGAATGGCGGCAGTTGCGTGAAAGAAAATATTAATGTCTGGAATTAATAGAAAAAAGGACCTGGGTTTACAAAGCCAAACAAGGAAGAGGGTGTCAAGTTAGTGCAGCGTTAATTGTTAGGGAAAATTTGAGAAAGGAAGGGAGCGCATGGTGATTTTCTCTCTTGGAGCCTAAGTGCCTCACTGTCAGGGAAGTGACATCTCAACTAGGCAGGTTCTGAAAAGAGGGTCGGCTGCTCAGGAATGCAACTCCCAGATTATACAAATGATGAGATGACACCTGAATGGGTGGACTTTAACCTTGTTTGCTGGGAGCTTCCTACACAATGAGGCTCTTGTGGTAGTTGGTATTGTGGGTGGAGAAGGATGGGAGTTAGCCCAGAGACAGGGTCTCCATGTAGGCGCTGCTCCCAATTCTGCCGCATGAGCCTGATTGAGTCTCAAAAACTCAGAATATCAAGATGTCCAGAATCCATGGCCTGAGTGTCCTTCTCTTTTTAAAAACACTGGCTGCTGGGCAGAGTGGTACACACCTATAACCTCAGGGAAGGAGAGGCAGGAGGATGGTGAGTTTGAGGCCAATCTCAGCAATTTAGAAACCCCCTAGTCTCAAAATAAAAATTAAAAAGGGCTGAGGATGTGGTTCAGTGCTTAAGGGCCCCTGGGTTTAATCCTTGGTACCAAAATCAAAAACAAAACAAAAAAAATCACTTTGGCTTCCATATCTACCAGTTCTGTATCTGTAGAGTCAATCAATCATGAATGAAAAATATTTGAAAATAAAATGCATAAACTGCATCTGTACTGAACAAGTGAAAACTTTCTTTCCTTGTCATTATTCCCTAAACAATGCAGCATAACACCTCTTGACATAGCATTTATGATAGTTATTATAAGTAATCCAGAGATTATTTAAAGTACATGGGAGGATGCATATGTAAGTTATATACAAATATGATGACATTTTATATGAAAGATTTGAATTCCATGGATTCTGTTACCTGCCAGGGTCCTGGAACCAATTCCCTGTAGACGTCTAGTGATGAATGTAGATACTGAGAGAAATTGATGGCTAGTCATTGGTCCTCCAAAAATGCTGCACCTATTCCTGCTCCTGACACCAGGCAGGACAGTTCTTTTCTGTGTTCAGGATACTGACATTACTACCAATGGCCATATCTTGCTTGGCACTGAGCCTGTCAGGCAGCTCACATCACATCTGAGCTTGGCTCTGTGCTAGGCATTCTGGGAGGTTTCTGAGGTACAACACTCCCACATCCTACTCCTCTGTTCCTGATAGCAGCAGACACCCCGTAACAGAATACCAAGTCACAGAGTGACTGTCCAGGTAGAACTGAACAAGATAGGGATTATGCTAGTTCATGTGCAGGAAACATGATTTTCAGCTCAGATATCAGTGGAGACTGAACTAAAGGACATGAGAGTTAAAATGAATGGGTGTAAACTTGCACAGAAGGACTGAGATCACTCCAGTAGGAGGTACTGGCACTTAGAAGGAGGTAGGGAGGGGACCCAAAATGAATGGAGACGTATGGTACCAAGCAAGCAGTCCATTGGATCCAGAAGTTAAGGTAGAAAAATATAATGAGAAAGTTTAACAGGCAGGTTCACATCAGAGGCCCAAGGGCACTAAAAAAATTAAAAAGAAGATTATCTATTATTCAGCAAGAATTACAGGTGTTTTATTTCCTGTACTACTTTTCTATTTTTAAAAAATAAAAGTAATATGTGCACAAAACCCTGAAAGGTATGAAATGAAAATTCAGTACCCTATTACTCTTCCCTGATTCTGTTTGTCTGATGTGCTCACCATAAACAGTTTTATGGGAATTTTAGGGAGAAAAAAAAAAAAACACAAGAATTTGTGTTTTCACAGTAATAATGTACCTTGGAGTTCTTTTCATATTAGCAATTTATGTTGCTGGGATTTATGTTGTTGTTGCTGTTGTTGTTTTTTAAATAACTTAGCATTTGGTTTTATCAATTTATTTAACTAATCACTAAAAAATGGATATTTACATCACTTTCTCTTTTTTTTACTGATACAGCAATATTGCAATCATCATTCTTGCATAACTATAAGTTCAAAGGTGATTATATTAAAAAGAAAGATTTAATACTGGAACTGTTGGACAAATGAAAATGTGCCATTTTGTTTCTGACACATATTATCAAATTGTTTTCTAACGTTTAGCAAATTTATACTCCCACCAGTAGTATATATTTTTTTATTTGTTTCTTATCTTGTTTACCAACTTTGGATATTATAGGTTTTTATTTCTAACCAATGGCACATGAAAAACTTGCTATCTCCATATTCCTCTATCTTTAACATTTTCAGGATCTTTCATATTTCATATTTTAGAAATAAAATATTTCATATTTTAGTTAACTGTATTCGTATTTCTCCATCAGTGAAATTCTTGTTCTTATCTTTTGGCAATTTTTCAATGGGCTCATGGTTTGTCTTTGGCTTACAGGTTTGGAGGAGCCCTTCACCATGGAAATCAGTTATTGAATATAAATCTTGTCAAACTTTATTTTAACTTACTATTGGCAAGGTTAAGTTCATTTTTATTTAGTCAAATATACCATTTTTAAAAAAACTTGTGGCTTTGTTATTTAACATCCTGCTTAGAAGCAATTTTCCCACTACAAGATTTCAAATTAATTCAGCCATGTTACTTTCCATTTGTTCTGGTGTTGTTG